GAGACATTAATAAACGTATTTTTTTAAAGAAATTAACAATGTTAGCATTTTCTGCAGGCTTCCATTAGTATTATCTCACTGCCAAATGATGTAACACAAGTAATTTTCCATATTTCAAGAAATAAAATACATATCTGACGAAGAAAGTTCCCTTTCTTATATGTTTTTCAAGATTACGAAACTTTATAAAAAAGAAGCAGTTTTAGAACCAACGTGTTCTGACACCATGTGGTCCGTTTTGTCACCAAACTTCTTGACGAATCCAACTGGCAGTTTGTGCTCTTGCAACATTTACTTTTAAGAGAATTCCTTTGAAATCGAGTAGTTTTGTACTGACTTACGTTTCCACTGCCACACATACTACAACAAATCACCACACATCCCTGCCAACATTTGCAAATACAAATAAGCACAAAACGCATTTCTGTATTTACATTTCGCGTTATATTTTATGAACTCAATACCTATAATTTAAATTGATATCGAACATGAAAAATATCGATCGAATCGATAAATCCAATCCCAGAACAATGAGTGAATACCTCTATACAACAAGATAGCAAAATACTGATTTGATTGCTTACTTGCAAACAGGCCAAATATGCTAGGTGCGGTGAAGTGAATCCGCCATGTTCGCCTAATGTCTCTCTTACCCCCAAACGTGGAAATAAACTAGGCCCGGGCACGAGGGACACCGTTAGATAGCCAACGTAATCGAACAAACAACCGCAAAAAGCCAAAATAGACACACATATCTATTTCTGGGTTTCTCTTTCCTGATCCTGTATCATTCCTCCTTCCTGATTATCTTCACCAATCTGTCACCGTTCATTCGTGTGAAATGGTTATTCCATTCTTTTTTTCCTTATTTTCAGCCATTAATCTTACTCAATTAATTGTTAATGTAATACTATTGATAAATGAAGGCTAATAAAGGTAAGATAACTAAATATATAAGAAAACGAGAATAGTAAGTATTATATATATTATATATATTATATATATTATATATATTATATATATTATATATATTATATATATTATATATATATTATATATATTATATATATTATATATAAATATATTATATATATTATATATTATATATATATTATAAGTATTATATATATGTATTATAAATATCCACTGAAACATGCAGAAATTTCATGTAATGAATTACAAAATCATTTAATTCGCACAATAATTATCTTAAGAGGATTATTATGACATTTTTATTATCAAAACATATGAAAAATATTCTTATATTTTCATTACATTCGTGAAAAAAACCAACAGGAGCGATTGCGAAGCGGTGTTTATGCCGCGTAGACCGAAGTCTTATGACGTTAGTCACTTCAGCGCGAATTTGGCGCCAATGTGAGTAGGTCTTTGAAAAGACGGTACCGCTACCTTGTGTCTCAATAGTAACTTGAGAATACCTGGCTTCACGCCACACTGAGTTCAAACATCAAGGCGCACCGCCATTTTATTTCCAAAGGTGGCGATGCTGCCATGAGAAATCTCTATTCAGAATATATTTTGAAGGAGAACTTTAAATGCTCCCTGGTTCATTCCAAACATCCAGATTCGCGGAGAATTAAAAGTGCCCTCATTAAGCGACCATACAACACAAATAGCTCAACAATTCTATGAAAACCTTCACTCTTCCCTATGCTCTTCAATCTTCCGTCTAGGTCGCATTGCTGCATACCCACGTATCAAATCCGAGTATCCTAAAGACTGATTCAAACCACCGTAATCCCCCAGAACTGTCAATGGATTGAAACTGAATCATTCAACTTGGCTTCATTTTAACACCATTCAACTTTTGCACCATGTTTACGTTCTTCTGAGTAATCCAAACCACTGCTTATGGATGGCCATTCCCAAAAAGCCAAAAACTATGCACTGCATTATTAACTTCCTCGAAAGACAAGCCTGTCGAACGAAAATAAATATTTAAAAAAACGGCATTTATACCGCCCGCGCGATCACTCAAAAGTTATAGGGTAGACAGGAACGAGCTAGAGTATACTACATAGAGTAGCTGAAGGGCCTCCATCTTTGAAGTAATTTGAAGCCATGTTTTTTGTAGTTAAGGCAGCGCCCTCTGGGAAACAAAGAATTCTAGCATTACGTTTGGCGCTGGTTACGGGCGGGTGGGCGCAGGCAGCGCATAATATAATTCCTCTTATTGTGTCTTCTCACGATAAAAAACCAATCATTTAAAAACGGGATGATAGTTTGTTATGAGAGCGAACTGTGAAACTTTAAATACATGTTGCTTCCTACATCTATTATTGTCATAAAAATGGAAGCTATTGAAATGTTATTGTAGTTAGCATAAAGCCTGAAAGTGAATGTTATTGCAATACCGTTTTTTAATACCGTTAAACAACAAAGTAAATAAGAAATAGAAAGAAATAAGAAAATAAATGAGCCGTGATACAACCAACACCACAACGTGGATTCAGTACAGCAGTTGAATATTACTCGCGCAACTTTTCTTGAACGATGACCTTGATACCCCTCCCTTGTGCAATAAACAGTTGAAGGCAAAAGCTCGCAGCGGGCACTAATGACAACCTTCAAGCATTAAAACTTCGTTGGCGTGAAACAGAAGCTAGTCAAAGCCTGTTGCTTTCATAGTGCAGAACACCTGTTCAGGTTAATTGTCATTATCGAAAGAAATGGCTGAGTCAGGTCCAGGCCCTGCAAGGGAGTCACTTAAAACTCCCGAAAAAGTTAAGCACAAGATGCAGTTTTGACTTTCATTTCACAGACGTTGGCATTATTTAAAATACTCTGTGGCCGACTTTGTAACTAATACGCCCACTCCACCCGCAATCGTCAATCCATCGTTCAAGAAAAGTTGCCGGAGTAATACACCTCCCCTCGTATGTTTTGACTTCAAAAGAACATGACGGCCACTAGTACGGCGCGCCTCCACCGAGAGCGCTGCGGCCACTCTATACGGTGTGTTCCAACTCGTCGGATGCCAGCCAGCCCCGGCGCCTGTACAGCGGCAGCAGGCGCTGCAAGGCGGCGCGGACGGCGGCGCCGGCGAGGAGGAGGTCGTAGGGGTTGGCGCGGCCGTCGCCGCCCACCGACGCGTCGACGTCCGGGGCCGCCTGCGCCTTGACGAGCGGCAGCACGCCCAGCGCCCCCCACAGCGAGAAGCTCCCGAGCGCCTGCGCCTCCGCCTGCAGCCACGCCCACGACGGCGCCTGCGCAGTCACCGCATCGGAATTCAAACTTAGTATCACAACGCGTTCTAGTATGCGCCTCATGACGGTGTCTACCAACTCTGCATTTTATAATTTACGCTTTAGTATCACAACGCGTTCTATGCACCTGCAGCTCCGCACATGACGGCATCTATGCCGTCAGCACTTTATAATTTACGCTTTAGTATCACAACGCGTTCTACGCATCCGCAGCTCCGCACATGACGGCATCTATGCCGTCAGCACTTTATAATTTACGCGTTAGTATCTCAACGCGTTCTAGTATGCGCCTCATGACGGTGACTACCAACTCAGCACTTTATAATTTACACTTAAGTATCACAACGCGTTCTGTGCACCCGCAGCTTCACACATGACGGCATCTATGCAGTCAGCAGTTTATAATTTGCGCGTAGTATCTCAACGCGTTCTATGCACCCGCAGCCCTGCCAATCACGGTGACTACACATTCAGCACATAATAATTTACACGTTTGTATCTCAACGCGTTCAATGCACTGCAGCAATTCAACGCAATGCGCTGCATGGCGTCTACGCATTCAGTACTTTATAATGTGCACGTTAGTATCTCAACGCGATCTATGCACACACAGCCCTGCCAATCACGGTTACTACACTTTCAGCACTTTATAATTTACACGTTTCTATCTCAACGCGTTCTATGCGCCCACAGCCGCGCCATTGTCGGCGACTACGCATTCAGCACTTTAGAATTACACAGTAATATCACAATGCGATTTATGTAGTCCCGCCCCACCCATGATGGTGACTACGCATTATAAATAAATATTAGTATCCCAAATTCTATGCACCCGCGGGCCCGACCACGACGGTGAACACGCAGCATTGTAGAATAACACATTAGTATCACAACGCGTTCTATGCACCGCAGCCTCGTCCATGACGGCGACTACGCTTTCGGGGCATTATAATTACAAATTAGTTTCCCAGCGCGTACTATGAACTGCAGCCTCGCCCATTACGGAGGCTACGTTGTCAACGGATCATAATTACACATAAGTACCGCAACCGGCCCGATGCACCCACAGTCTCGCCCATGTACGCGACTACGCACTCAGCACATTATCACAGCGTGCAAATTCCATGCGTGTACAGTTCTGCGTGCAGTCACGCCCGCGACGCGGCGGAGCACGCGAAATCACCAGAAAACATTTGTGACCATAGGCGGTATATCAGTGAGTGGATCGGACCGTTGTACCCATGATCTTGGGCTCAAACCCGATTAAAACCGGGGCAAAAATGTCGAAAGGACGAAAAAATCATTCGTCCACCTTCCTTCGAAGGGAAGTAAAGCCGGCTGTCCCATGCAGTTTTACTGCATGTAAAAGACACTCAAGTGTAAAAGAAGCCTCTGAGCTACAGTCAAATGGCCTGTTTTGTCGTTCTACAGATATGTTATTTCTCCACGAGATGGTAAAAGGAAGGTAGCAACATTTTGCGTGGCCAGTCGAAAGAGCAGGTCTGATGACTTACGTCTCGCTACTCGTGTAAAATAAGGGTTAATTGAATTGAATTGAAAACAATACGAGCGCGAAGCTCTTGCGTGCCTGCACTATATCCACTTGCAGTCCCACCCACGTCAGTTCCCTAGCATTCACCACGTTATGCTGCGATTTTTCTAAATCTGTCCCTCAATACCCTTCTTCACGGCGGCATTATGTCACTGTATTACGCGTCTTTCTCGGACTTGCCGCTAGATGTCGCATGATCGCGACCGTATAGCAGTGCTGTTCTATGGCTGTTGCTGTGCTTTTGTTGTTTGTGAGTGTTGGTCATATTTTTCCCCTCTATATGTTTTCTTGTGCGTGCTGTACGTGCCTTTCTGATCTACACGTTTAGTTATTGTTTCTTGTATGTGCTCTCGCATGCAGCCTTCTGTGTGCTCGTGTGTGCTTGCGTGTGAGAATACCTGCATCCCTAAGAGATCCATGGTCCTCTGGAGCTCTGCATAGTATTCTCTTAGCAGAAGATCTTCATGAAACTCAGAGACTTCCGCACTGGGACTGGTGCTCAGGAAATACAGGATGTCCAACACAGGGGAGGCCACGTGGCTGAGCTGAAACAAATGATGAACGATAGCTCGTCTCATTTCTGAGAGAATGTGAACCGTCCATAAATTACGTATCGCAAAATTTCAAGTATTTTGAATATTCCCTCTCCCCCTTGTATCTCACCCGTAATGCGAGCTTCAACCCGCCTAAACAATTTCATAACGTTTGCGACCAAACCCCCATGTAGAGTTAAGAAGTGAAAATAGATTATGGCACAGTAAAATCAGTTTGTGTTCAATTTATTTGTTTGTAAAAGTTATGATAATTAGTGTAACTGAGCATTCGGTCTGACGTTGATGAGCTGTGGGCGTTAGAATATTCCCTTGAGAATAGTTTCAGGCCGTTATAGCTTCGGTCTCTCTGATTCTCCCCTCACTCGGATAAATCCCCTCCTCGCTTCGTGAGTCGAGAATTTATCGACAACTGCCAAAGTACTCATAACATTTCCTATGGCTATTCCACTCGTGAAATTAAAACCAATAGTGTTTAATGTAAATACAAAATGTCTCAATCAGGGCGGCGTATCTAAAAAAGTGTATCGCATTTCTATCCGATTTTTCTTACCGCTTCTACCTACTGACCAATCATAAACTCTTACTCATCTATCTTAGGAGGCGGTATACATCGATCGCTATGTCGATGTCCAATAAATCGCCTATGTATTATAACATAACCTCTTTAATTTTAACATATTTTTAATATGTGGCGCATTTTGGAACTCTGTTGGATATACTTTCACGCCTAGCATAGTCCTATTAAATACTGCTCTTGCTTCGGAAATTCTCAGATAAATCCTCTCTTCGCTTTGCGAGTCGAGAATTTATCGACAACTTCCAAAGCACTCGTATTACCTGTGATAATTTCTCACCTGAAAATCCACCATTCGAATTTCAACAGGTTGTTCACCTTCGTAGCGAAACATCATGTTGTTGCTCCAGAAGTCTCCGTGTAGGAGTACGTTGAACGCTCCAGACTGCGGATGATGGAAGTGGGCGAATCTTTTCAAAGCAACAGTCTTAAAAACGAGAAAAGTATTCTATAGAACGGTAGAGCATATTGCAACTCACAAAACAACAGTTTTTCGGATGCAATTCAAATTCTTGAAACATAATAAACATCGTTATCAACGTGACGCCAATAAAAAACATATAATCAGACAATCTCTTACAAAATATACGTCCCTGATAACTGTAGTTCAGTTAATATCGTATTCAGTGCAGTGCTGTATGCTGTATCGCAGTGCGTTGAAGTGAAGTGTGGTGAAGTGAAGTTTGGTGAAGTGGAGTTCTATGAAAGATTACAAAATCACGCGAACATTTCACCGTGCAAAGTTTGTAGATTTTGTATAGTTGTTAAGTTCTATAATATTAAGTTAGTGTATTCTGCCATCAAGTTCTCACACTTAATTGCATAATTATTAATAAATATAATATAAATGTTAATCTAATATTGTGACGGTCTAAACGGACTCGTCTACTATAATAATTAATTTTTTTTTACCCATTAGTGCCCCGATTTTTTTATTTCAAATTTCTTTTATAAAATTGTAAATTTGGTTTATGTATTTCATAAATAATGCCAAAATGTAGAAATTTTGTTTTCATACATCATACTTTTTGTATTATGAGCCGTTACCGTAGGGTAACTCTGAGCACTTTATTAGCGTATTTTTTTATTATTACCTTAGGCAATCAAACAAAGATATAAGGAATCAAATATGTTAATATTTAAAGGTTAAATACCAATAAACACTTCGTAGGATACTCATTATATCCGCTTTCTATAAGTATTCCAATGATGCACATTATTTCATCTTCTGTAATATCGGCATTCGGAACATTTTTAAAATACGCAAACGATGAATTTCTTGAACAAGTAATGAAATTATTCTTTTATCTAAAAATAATTCACATAACATGTGATTTGTCAGAAAAATATGAATAATTTGAGAAAGGAAATGCTTTTTCAGTATTTTCAAAATCTTCTTCAATCCAAGTGTGTGTGCCCTGAAACTTGTCAAAATCAGTATCCACTAATTTTTCTTTCGTAAACCTGATTTCTGTATCAGCCAAACGCTGCCTGCCAGTCAAGTTGTCAACAGTTCCTCCCTTATCTTCATCTACAGAATCTTCGTCAGTCAAAATATCAGGCTTGGCAATGTAGATATCTTGAATATCAGTATTCGTATATAGTAAATCTAGGACTTCCCCTACACTCAAGCATGGAGCGAATATTTCTGCCAATGCCTTATGAGACGAAAAACTATAGTGTTGGGGTGTACCCAGCCACCTTTTAGTAGGCATTTTCGAGTTAAATAGCTAATTATAGTTGCATTTACTTATATTACATTCACAACAAAAATAATGACATAATAATATATAAATATAAGAAATATTTACTTTTCATCATCCATTGCGTAAGCAAATTCGCAAATCATGAACCAGATAAATAATAAAGACACTCTCTACAAGACAGGAACTAGAACTACGACCAACGATCTGATGTCTGGCGTTGAATACAACTCATAACAGCGTTGCCAAACTTAAGCATTAAAAGTAGGTTCTAAAACTATGCTCTTATTTAACGGGGATTTTCGTTACCAAATGGTAACGCTGGGCACAAATGAGACGAAAAGCGACATATTTTCTAAAACAAGTGACGGGTTCAGGAGTGTGGCGGTATTTATTTATTTCTTCGCTGTGCTGACAAACTGTGTAATTACAATCAGAGCGAAAAAAAAATTAGGTTGACCAAAAATAACTGTATATTAACTCTTCAAGATATTTGAAAAATAATTTTTGTCATAAGACAAATGAAAACATATTCCAAGAACCTAGAGTACGTAAACATTTCGAAATAAATAGACTAAAAGGACATTAAAAGGTAATCAAATAATGGTAATAATAATATATTCAATTTACGAATGTAAATATAAGCATGTGTAAGGGAAATTTGGATGGAAAACATTAATTAGGCGAACAGTAAGCAAATGACGCGAACGGAATAGATGGCAGTTGTTTAGAGTTGAACTTTTTAGTGAAAGCAAAGATGAGAAGTTCGGTAGATTTACGCATGGCTGGCATGCATACGCATGGCTGATTGAAGTCATTGTGATAGTATATCAAAATGAGTACTACGATCACTACGGATGAACGTTGGAGGATTAATATGAGAATGACGCCAAATGGTCATGATGATCCTGGATGTTGACGGCGTGTGATCGGAGATGTGTAAGGCAGCTTCAAAAATCAAGAGAAAGGAAAGTGCTAATTTTAACGTTTATTTTTCGGACTTGAAGATACGAGAAGGCCAAGATTTGTCAGGAGTGCGGGGAAAACACAAGGGAGGAGACAGAAGGATTGTTAACAATTACAGGCCTATAAGTTTGACATCAGTCGTATGCAA